ATTATTATAAAAAAACGACTAAAAAAAAAAAAAAAAAAATGTTATATTTATAAATACTATAACTGTATATAAATACTAACGGCCAGATTTACTAACGGCTTGCGTCTGCGCAAACCGTCTTTTGGCATTAAAATAATGTTTGCGCTCGTCAAATTACTGGTATTTGCGCCATAATTTAACTCCCAAAAAAACATGCCTTAAAGCAGGCGGTAATTTGCGCTGCTCTTGGTAGATTGCGCTGGTCATTATGGAAATGATCTGGCTGCATAAATCAGTAAATCACCCGCAGAATTTTCCCCTCCCATCAGCGCTTTTATGTTTAGTAAATCTGGCCCTAAAATAACACTGTGCCTATGATGCCTAAACATGTTGACTAGGTCGTAGGTTTTATGACATAGCCATTGTTTTTACTGCAGTATAATTGTTAATATGTATGTGTGTGGGATGAGCAGGTTGAAAGGTACGGAGGAGAAGTTCAGGAATAGAGAAAGCCGACCAGAGGACCTCCAGGTGATAGCTGAGCTCAGAGAAATGGTGTCCGAGAGAGAAACTCTGGTCAAGAAGCTTGTGGTAAGTGTCCACCACAACGGTCTGTAGAGGTGCAGCATCCCGTTAAAAGTGATATGTGTACTTCTGTTCTTTTACATTTATTTTTGTCCCAAAGCATTACATGTCTTAAGACAAAAGTCAATATCAGTTCATTGATTTTTCTGCACGGGGCCTTTCGGTCTGACTGTGCCTCCTTTGTTCCAGGATGACAAGAAGTTTTATCAACTGGAGCTGGTGAATCGAGAGCCTGGATTCAACAAGGTGTTCAACACCAATCCCAATGTTGGTGTCATAAACCCCCTTATAAAGGTTAGAGAGACACAGCCACACTGATCAAAGAGTACCTCTGAAGTCCACATAAAATGGATTTGATCTTATCGTAAAAAAAAAAGCGCAAACCATAAACCTTTTTAAAAGCACTCCATCTCTACAGTTCATGGAATCCATGAATGTAATAAAAGAATACTTCAAAGGTTATGCCTTATGGGAAGTGGGTTTACAGAGGTACCGCTGGAATGGGATGTTCTGCAGAGACTATTAATAGCCTTCTACTGTTCTTTTAGTTGGTCTAACTTTTTCTTTCTGTTGCGTAAGTTGTGATTGTGCAATTTGCCATTGTCTGTGTCTTATATCCATGTTCAAACATCAAGTTCTACCCTGCTTTCCAAATCATAAGTTCTGTTCTGAAACCTAATGTGCTGCTTACATAGGACATACTGTAAAACCTCAAAATTGACCCATGTGGTGGTTTCAATAGAATCTAACATGTTTTTGAAGTCTCTTATGCTCACCAAAGCAGCATTTATTTATTAGATCAAAAATACAGTGAAAAGTAATTTTGTGAAATATTACAAATATTTCCATTTAAAATAACTCTTTTCTTTTTAAATATATTTTAAAATGTAATGTATTCCCGTGATGCAAAGCTGAATTTTCAGCATCATTGCTCCAGTCTCCAATGTCACATGATCCTTCAGAAATCTTTCTAATATGCTGATTTGGTGCTCAAGAAGCATTTCTCATTATTACCAATGTTGAAAACAGTCATGCTGCTTAATATTTTTGTAAGGAATGTGATTTTTTTCAGGATTCTTTGATAAAGAGAAAGTTAAAATAAACAGCGTTCTTCAGCGTTGAAATAGAAATGTCCTTACTGTCACTTATGCATCCTTTGCTAAATAAAATTATTAATTTAAAAACAAAAATCATAACCAAACCAACCTGAACACACACACACACACACACACACACACGCATGTTGTGTTTCCATGTTTTATGGGGACATTCCATAGGCGTAATGGTTTTTATACTGTACAAACTGTATGTGCTATTGCCCTACACCAACCCTACAGCACTAATATATGTATATATATATACCGGTATACATATATACGATAAACATTGGGTGATAGTAATTTTTTTTATTTGATTGGACTATTTTTATATCATCAATACTGTTTGTATTAAATGAAATAAAAGTGTATAATAAACATTTCTCTCACCTTGATTTTTTTTTTTACTTTTGGCACACACTTAAGCCGTATGTGTGGATATAAAGGATACATGCTGCCGAAACTTTTTATAAATAATTTAATAGCAAAATTAGGTATTATACCTTTTTAAACAGGCATTGCTTCAGGACCGCATCTATGAGAGTCAGCTCACTAGGTTTTGTAACGGAGCTATAATCTGTAATTTCTGTTCCCTGTCCACATTCAAAATGATGTTCATTACCTTGTCATCGTTTAGCTTGAAGCTACAGTTCGCCATCACCTCAGACTTCCCACAATCCCTTTCTGTGTGTGTCCTTTTAATGTAGCATAAGAGTAGAAAACCTGCGAACACTTTCGCCAGCTCTCCGAACCTAAGCGTTGTTGCGGTGGAAGGGATGGTGGGCGGCTCGGTTCTGCCTGCTTGCCTAGAGTCTGTCCCCAACTCCCCCATTCACCACCATGAGCTCAGGTCTAACAAACCTCTGCCCCCTCCAACCCCTCAGCCACAGGCCGACTCCACCCGGAGGTGAGATTGTCCGAGACGTCCTTGTCCTCACAAGAGACATGCTTAAAACTTGCCATTGGTCGGATCACACGTCTCAGTCCTAACGGTAGAAAAAACGTCAGTCTGTCTGTTGATTGGACGTTTTGATACGAGAACAGGGCTATGTCTGTCCCAGAGAATTGTGGGTATGCTCGTCTCACTCTTTAATGCATCTTGCCGGCGAACGGCACACATTAAAAATGTTTGTATTTCATGCTACTTTGATGTGCATGATAAATTGTGCGTACCAATGTCCTTAAATCTGACTGAAAGTTCACCTAAACAGTGTGTGATCTTTTGGAATGCCAACGCAAGCATGCAGTTGATGTCATCACATGTCATTTCATAGCAGTCACGAGTATGGCTCCGCCTATTAGCCGTACTCTGCCCTTCACATTTCATGCATTTGTTGTTTTGTGGTTTTAAAATGAGCTATTCAAATGATGAGCAGCTATTCCTGGTATTTCTTGCCTAGTGAATTCAAGCACAGGAACATGTTGTACGCAGCTTTGGGCTGGGAGATAATATTAGACCATTTCTGGTAGAGAGGCATATTTTATTTATAATTTAAAAGGAAATAGTTCAGCATGGTGCCTGTGATTTATTTGATGCTTGAACAAGGAGGGCAGCTTCCTATTGGTCAAGAGACACTGCACTGTTTGCTGCGGTAGTTAGACATCAAATTTAAGGATCATTCTTACTGCTGCCAAAAAAGCAAAGGTTACTTGAATATAGTAATGACTACTATAGGGAAATAATGTAAATACACATGTACAGGGGCCACAAAAAAATAATATTAAAATTTTAACTTTTTAACTTTTATCTGATTAAATGAACAGATTAAAAATCTAAATATCTAACTCAAAATATAAATATACTTTCCTAAAATAGTGTGTGAAATTACAACAGTTGAGGTAATATTAATAAATATATTTACTGATATTTGCACATTAATTCATATTTTGTTAAGTTTAGATGAGTTTGTATCTGTTTTCCAAATGAATCGCACAGGATCACATCAGAAATGACAAAATTATGTATTTAGTATGCTTTATTTACTGAAAAAAATGGTGTAGGAGTACTTTGAAACTATTTTCTCTCAGAAATTGCTTGAGAATTTCACAAATAATAACAAAGAAATGGCAAGTAACACATTGAAGGAAACAGGAATGTAAAAAATAAGAATATATTTCCAATATAAATATCTAATCATCCTTAAATCAACATAAATTTACTTGAGATGCAAAATAAGCAAGTCTTGTTTTCAGAGTAACTGAACAAAATTAAGTGAGTTTATGCTTAAAAAACGAACAGACATCTTTCAATGGGGTGTGAAAACTTTCAGTTAAGTTGATTTTTCTGAGCACGTTGGCAGATATATGTTCTTGTTTTAATCCTAAACTCATTTTTGATCAGCTGCTCATGAAACAAGACTTCTTATGTCATTTTGCTTCTCAAGTAAATTTATCTTGATTTTAAAAAAATTAGACATTCGCATCTGGAAAACGACAAAAATACTGATGAAAAAGTTCTTTCCATATTCTAGCGGTTGAGGGCAGTGGTATTCAAGCCATATTTTTTCTTTTTGTAAAATGAATTAAAAGTAATGGAGATATGTTGGAAGTTGTATTTTCAAACTATGCCTTGCTAATATAAGACATTTAGAGACTTCTTTACTTAAAAACTTCAAAAAAATCATTTTTACAATGTATGTACACTTTGTCATTCATTCTGTTCATTTGAAATGAGCCTTCGAGTAGCGTCCCCTTCCAACAAAGCACAAAAATGCTGATCCAAATACATTGTCTCAATTTTAAAGAGATAGTTCACCCAAAAATGAAACTTA